CAGCGGCGCTGTCACCCCTTCCTTTGCCGGTGCTCCCTACTTTCGGGACCATCCAGAGGTCATTGGAAAATGCACTTCAAAATTCCCTCCTCCAGGCTAAACTTCCAAAACCCCACATCCCAAAAATATATCCATATTCTTCAATGTTGCACTCGCCGCTGTTATTGGGGTGGGGGGGAAGTTTATGCGGATTTCGGGGCAAAATTCCTGGTCTTTTGACTCAATATGAGCACATACATCCGAGGGAGGTGCCTGCAACTTGGTAGAAATAATCAATGTAGGAATATTCTGAAAACTTTATAGGAATAGTGAGTGTCAGGATGATATTGGAGTGTTGCTTGCTTTATGTGATGGCTGTAAAATGGTATGGAAAAGCATATAAGCAAATTTAAATGAACCTATGGGATGCACTAAGCTTGAAGGACAGAGAGGGGAACGTATCTGTGGAGGCTGAAATAAGAAGAGGAGGAAAAGACTAAATACTAAATACTAAAATTAATTTATCACCGAGCTAATAAGACGGTGACACTTTGCCCTTAATGTTAGGGAAGTCTATTTGAAAGATTCTCTTAATACTGAGTCGGGGGGGAGGTTAAGTAAAGGAAGAAATAAAAAAAAAAAAAAAAAAAAAAATTGGCTTTTAGGTCTCTAATGTTTTCCTCTGGAAATTTTGTATCATTTCACGCTGTTTGCCAACACGGTGAGCCCAAATAGTCTGTCCTGTCAACTTCACGAGATGGGAAGAGGCTGCACGGCCAGCCCTTGGTTTGAAGCTGCCCCCCTCACCAAGGGCTTTGGAGGTTGTGGTTGCCTCCCGTGGCGCAATATCCAAACCTCTCCCCGGTACCGCAGTGTGGGCTGCAGCCAGGGGGGGTCCTGATGGAGCCAGGGGGGGTCCTGATGCAGCCAGGGGGGTTTTGGTGCAGCCAGGTGGGTTTTGATGCAGCCAGGGGGGCTCTGATGCAGTGAGGTGGGTTTTGATGCATCTTACCTGGAGATGTAGCCAAAGGCTTCCCATTTCCTCGCTGCCACGGGATGCGGAGCCGGTGTCACCCTCCCTGCGATGGCACTTGCCCCCCCAGGGCGTATTGGGGGGAACTTTTCGATGCCTTTTCATACTTTATGGCTTCAGGCTGGGGTGCTGGAGGAGACGCAGCTGCAGAGAACCAAGAGGGAACGGTTAATTTTCGCGTAGTTCCCGGGTAACAGCAAATAGAAAACGTTTGACGGACAAATCTCTTAACGCCTGCTCGTTAGTTTAAGGTTTATAGCTTTTTCCCTTCTAAGGCGTAGAGCCCATTGGTGTCTTGGGGGTAATATATTTCATCACAACTGCTTCTTATTTATTTTTTTTTCTCCAAATGCAAAGGAGAGTAGAGGTTAGCACAGGAAATGCTGACGGGTGTGATTTTTCAGAGAGCTGCTGCTCCAGGCTTGTGAGTCAAGTGTCTCGCGTGGATACCAAGCTGCTGCTAGGGCTCTCTGCATTCATTATTGCTCCATCTTCGTTAAATACCGCAGGGTTCGGTATGGTCGTTAAAATATTACTTCCATGGTAAATAAAGTTGAAGTTGCTGAAGCTATTTCACATTAAAAATAAGTTATTTCACATTAAAAATAAACAAACTGTACGTGGGCAGGTTTGTTGTTGGTTTTTTTCCCCAACTAGAGAAAATAAAAGAAGTTTTAGAAGTATAGCGTTTTTAATCTAAGCTTCTTTACAGAATGTTTTTCAGGGAACTTTTCCTAAATCTTAAGGATGCTAAACAAGAGAAGAGAAGATGAATGAAGAGAGGAGGTTAAAACAAACCCATTGGCTCTCAGCTGAGATTTGACCTCAGGAGGACAATCCCCGAGGTGAAGCTATTTTGGAGAAGAGGAAGCAAAAGAAGGTAACAGAGTCTTGAGAGCAATGGTGGGAAGAGTGTGTGGAAGGGCAGGGCAGGGCAGAAAAGAGATCTGAGTTGTTGAGAGGCTGGAGCAAGTCTGAGAGGGTTTTATATGCTTTGAAGGCAGTGGGCACTTGCAGCCCAGAAGGCCAATCCCATCCTGGGCTGCATCAATAGAAGTGTTGCCAGCAGGTCCAGAGAGGTGATTCTTCTGCTTTGCTCTGCTCTGGTGAGACCTCACCTGGAGTATTGTGTGCAGGTCTGGAGCCCTCAATATAAGAAGGACATGGACCTGATGGAGCAGGTCCAGAGGAGGGCCACGAGGATGATCAGGGGGATGGAGCACCTCTGCTCCGAGGACAGGCTGAGGGAGCTGGGGTTGTTCAGCCTGGAGAAGAGGAGGCTGCGGGGAGACCTAATTGCAGCCTTCCAATGTCTGAAGGGAGCCTACAGGAAGGCTGGGGAGAGCCTGTTTAGAAAGGCCTGCAGTGACAGGACGAGGGGCAATGGCTTCAAGCTGGAGGGGAACAGATTTAGACTGGAGATGAGGAGAGGGTTCTTCACTGTGAGGGTGGTGGAGCCCTGGAACAGGTTGCCCAGGGAGGGGGTTGAGGCCCCTTCCCTGGAGATATTCAAGGAGAGGCTCGACGAGGCCCTGGGCAACCTGGTCTAGTTGGGGGTGTCCCTGCTGACTGCGGGGGGGGCGGACTAGATGGCCTTTGGAGGTCCCTTCCAGCCTGGACAATTCTATGATTCTGTGATTCTATGAAGGCAGCCTTTGACCCTGAGATAAATAAGGGGAACTGCCCCCGTTTCAGAGTAGACGTGATGCGGCCGCGCTTCCGCAGGGACGGGAGAAGAGGGGAGGTGACATCCTGCAGATGCTGCCTTTGGGAAAGTCAGGGGCACAGCTGGAGTTTTGGGCAGGAGGCTGGGAAGCTTTTACTTCAGCAGTGCCCAGGGAGGAGGTGGTGCCGAGCACTGGGGCAGAGGGATGGAGAAGGCAAGAAAAGAAGTGATCAAGTATTTGCAGGGGAAAGAGACAGGACAGGACGGGAGGCTGATAATTTATGTGAGGTTCAGCGACGCTTTTTTAAAAGACACTAAAAATGTGCAATACCAAAAGCTGGTGTTTTTGAGTGGAGAAAGCATGTCTGCAGAGATTTGCTGCCTTCTCCCAGTGTGAGCTGTGGGATTCAAGGGCACTCCACAACTCTGCCGAGGCATCTCTCTGCTCCTATGCATTCAGGCCCCAAGGACCTCTTTTTGCAATTATAAGACTCCTGTATCAGCGAGTCGAAAGAAAAAAGTCATGTGCTAGGTCTGGTGATGCCCACGTAAGAACAGGAGATGATACATGAAACGATTTCACAAGAGTTGCCGAGTCAGTGAAAGGGTAAGATCGTTTCCTTTCACTGGTATGTATATATGCTTTAAGGACTGTGTTTCTACTAATTAATTACAATTAAGTAAAATATTCTGCTTAAAGGACTACTTAACTGGTTAGAAGGGTTCTCTAATCATCTAAGACTTCCTAACAAAATATTTGGGTTTTTTTGTAATCAAACAGGAACCAAATACAGTAAAAACCAAAGAAGCCAGCAAAGTAAATACAGAAAATATCATAATATCTGAGTATTATCAACTATATTTAATGAAATAATTGACTTTCCTCCTCAATATTCTACTCCATGTGTTATGTGCTGTCCTCAGTGTGCTTCCTAGCAGTTTAAGTGTGATGTATAAGAAGCTCCACCTAAACATGAGGAGGAACTTCTTTCCTGTGAGGGTGGCAGAGCCCTGGCAGAGGCTGCCCAGGGAGGTGGTGGAGTCTCCTTCTCTGGAGACATTCAAACCCACCTGGATACGTTCCTGTGGGACCTGCTCTGGGTGGCCCTGCTCTGGCAGGGGGTTGGACTAGATGATCTCCAGAGGTCCCTTCCAACCCCATGTGATACTGTGATTCTGTATGAGAAGATGTTATGGAAGTTTCTGGTAGATGATTAAACCTTATAAAATACATTCTTCAGCTGAAAGAGTAACTATTTCCAGCTTGATATAGGCATCACATTTAAAAGAAAAAAAAAGTGATATGTCAAATGATATGTTCTAAATTCATCAGGGTTATTGCAGATCTTTTTCCTGCAAAGCTTGTTTGCTCCGTACAGTGCTTTGTATGTTTTGAAGGCACAATAGCATTAGTTAATTCTCACAATATTATTGCAATTAGGCAAATATATAGTATTATTATTGCTTAAGATCCTTTGAAAAGAGAAGCTAAATTGTAAAGATTGATTGATTTACTCAAGAGCAAACTGTGTTATTCCAGTGCTACAGACTAGACCCCTCCGTGACCGGAACATTTTGCCGTCTGCAAGTGTCTTGGGTGACCACCTAAAATCAAATCCCTGCCCACTTTAGATATATATATAGGCGTTATTGTCCTTATTTTGCACGTTCAGTAACTGGCACAACTTGCATGTTTTGATTCCCTCTGCTTATTGGACCGTATGTAAATCGGATGGAGTATGAGCCGTGCAGTTGTGAGCTCACAGCTCACAGCCTTGCTGGAAAAATGCTGGCAGGAATTCTGTAGGCATAAATTGACTTTGCAGACAGAGAGGCTGATCTTGAGCCTGGCTGGAAATATACTGCTAAAGCTCCTATGGCGGGGTTTTGGGTTCTTTTTTTTTATTTATTATTACGGCATCTATATGTCCCTTTGTCCTTGGTTAAAATTTGCTCTGCGTTCATTTTTGGCAGGGTTTAATGCAGCAGTTGTCAATCTGAATGGGGCCTTGCACCCCAGGGGGAATTGCACTTCATTAGTATGTGATGTATATAATTGGAAGTTGTTTAAGGGTTGTTTCAGAATGATATACAACACTGGTCGTTCAGCTCTTATATTAATTTATAAAGTTGGGTTGAACTATATATGCGAAAAAGACATTTAATTTAACAGGAGGGGAAAAAATAGCTTTAATAAGGTTTGAGGTTCTTATCCTTTCTGTCAGGTCTCGGAAGCGCACACAGAGCTGCTCTTAGTTGCAGTAACATTCCCTGATGGAAGAGAACAACACATATGTCTCTTGTTCTAGCCCATGACCTTTAACAGCAATGCAGATTTTTTTTTTTCTTTTTTAACTGGAGATCCTCTAGTTCATTCCCTCCTACCAGCGTGCTGCAAAAACAGAGTGATTGCAGAAGAGCTTTGGAGTAAAAGAGGAGGCACTTTGAGTAGTAACCAGGCAGGACTTCTAATCTATCCTCACTCACCTATGGCAGCCAACAAAGACATAGGAGTAGAGATAGTTAAGAAGCCCCCAGCTCAAGCCTGGAATTTCCTAGCTGCTGTTTCACTTCTGTGCTCTTAGAGCTGAAGGGAGAATGTCACCCTTAGTAACGCGTCGGGGCCGCAGAGCTTATGGGAAGATGATAGAAGATAGCTTGTGCCACCTTATAGCAAGACTAAGATGCACCCTCTTATAAACTCTCACATCAGGTTGGTTTGAACAAGTCCAATTTGAAAGTACGTTGGTTGCACATGGAAGGTGTGTCTGATATTTTTTCAGCCCTTTAGGAGAAGGATCTTGTCCCGTATTTGGCTCCTTGGGCGGGTACATAGAGATCTGCACAGTTTTTGCACCTCGGCACAGATTTGCATGCGGTCAGACTTTCCCTGTTGCCTTCCTATAAACATCTTTAGACAAAATAAGTGAATACATCACTGGTCTTTAACATTTATAATTTGGGAGCTGTTAAGAATTGTTGTGTTGAGTCACCCAAGGCAGGTCAGGATGAGTATGGCCAAGTGTCAAGACTCTACAGAGCCATGCTGACTTGGTTCTCCTCCCAGGCCACTTGCTGCTCCCAAGAGTTTGGATGTATTAACCTGCATGGAAAGAGCTTTCACGTGATTAATCAAATTCCTGTAGCTTAGGTGTCTCGTCCAGTTCAATAAATAAACTGATTTTTATTGGTCTATATATTAATACATTTTGTTGAGCATTTCATGTGCGAACAGGCCAATCAAAGTGGGTATTAGTTTTCCATCTGTCAGCTGTGGAACAGCTCCTTAATAAAGATACTAATCTGCGATGTAGAATTAAGATAACTTCCTGTGTCTTGTTATTTGGCATCTTGTTATCTTTATGGGGATGTCTAATTGAGTGTGGGATTAAAATACATGATAAATAAATGTATGTGGTTTTTAGGCGTGTGAGGTATCTCAGCTCCTAATTAAACTCAGTTCAATCATTAAATTCAGTTCAATCATTAACGCCCGGAGAACAACTCGCTTCCCTAAATTTATGTGTTATTTGAGGTGCCTGGAGTCAGTAACCACCCTCAGGAGCCTAGAAGGGGGTCTGAGGGAGATTTGTGCCCATCAGAACAGGCAGTTGGAGGCCAGGCACGATAATTTATGGTGTCTGAGATATTGCACCGTGCGTTTATCTTCAGGCAACTGAATTGAGCCCTGGAGCGTTTGAAATAAAGTGAATTGCTCCCCTGGGAGCTTTAATTGTGTTCAGCAGGGGCTTGTTGACTCCTGACGGTGGGAGGGAGTTGCTCAAGGCTGAGACATCTCCAAAGGGACAGCAGTTGTGGTAAAAGACCTGTGGGAGATCTGCACTTCTGGAGTAGCAGCTGAAAGCCAAGCAGAATGTCAGAAGACACTGGCGCTAGAAACCTGTGTTTAGGGAGCCCAGTTGATCCCTAGATCTTCATCTTTTACTGTCAGTTGGATAAATTATTAGTTAGAACAAAAGGTTAGTGCTTCCAGACATACTAAATATACCTGCTTAAAAAAATTTCATTATTCATCTTTTCCTATCACTCAGTATTACAAATAAAAATAATGGTTTGATGCAAAAAATCAGAGTTTTTCCAATATGCTTTAAGCCACGGCCCTACAAAGGGCTTTGGTATATTTAGGTATAGGCTGCCCAGGGAGGTGGTGGAGTCTCCTTCTCTGGAGACATTCAAACTGGACACGTTCCTGT